CGGATTCAGAGCTAGAACTAGGTGGATTTGGTTCTGGTTGCTTCCTCTTCCTTTTCAAAGTTCGTTCAAAATCATCGTCAAACTTCAATATATGTGCACGAACAGGTTGGGAACATGGAGTCATACACTAGTACCTAAAACTAAGAAAACAAAACAAAATAAAATAAAAAACACAAGAAAAATAAAAACAGAAACAAAGGGGAGATTAGCAATTTTGCTAATCCCCAGCAATGGCGCCAAAACTCGATGTAATATAAAATAGCACACAAATTAAACCCTCTTTATGTAGTTGTAGTATGTATAAGTAGGGACCGTTCTAGATCGGGGATTAGGAGGGATGCTAATCTACTCAAATTAGACTAAAAAACACTAAAGTATACTCAAAAACAGAAAACTAGACTCTAATGACTTAAAACAAACTAGAATGACTCAAAATAGCACAAAACAAACAAATTGACTCAAAACAAGAACTAAAGGGTGATTTGGACGAATTCTAACTTACGTTGACTCAAAACACTAAAAAGAAACCAATTTAAACATATTCTAACTAAAAGACACGAAATATAAAGGGGGAGGTGGTTTTTGACAAATTTAAAGTAAAAGCAAACAGATTTAAAGACTCTAAACAACTTTGGACAAAATTGGGTGTTTTAATGGGTGAATGGCTAGCTAGAGGGTTCATCTCCACACATGACATATATGCATACAAATTGATTTCCAGTTATTATTCCTATAAACCATGAATGACAATGGCCCAAATTAATTGTGAACTGCACATATTAACTCTCAGATTTTCCTAATCTCATTGAATTGGACTCAGCGACGTAATCAAATTATTCTTATCAAGTTCCCTATATGAACTGTATGATAGAGATACATATCAAAGATCATTAAGTTCTATGAAAATCATAAGCATTGACATGACATTCGTAACTATGAACTGCATGATACTTCTACCATAGATTTACTTAACACGATTATGACTAGCAACCTCCACTACTTATAAATATAAGTTCATAACGATTAGGTGAAATTCCCTTATATTTTAGCAGGAAATAGATTCATATCACATATATGTTCATGGCTTTGAATTCACCTCTAACTAAAACGAATTTAGTTCCTCATGTTCACACTTAAACAAAGATAACTTTAATTAAACATTGAAAACAAAAAATAGAATACACCTAAGAACGTTCTAGCAATCCAAGCTTGAATGGCAAGGCACGGCTCCAAAGGTCTCCTCTCCTTTCTCCTTGCAAGGCTGCGGCACTAGAGAGATTTATGTGTATGATGGATGTGTGGTGCGAATTGTGGTAAGAGATAGGTGATTTATGATTCCTACGACATAAGATATTTATAGAGAAAAGGGAGGGCACGGCAAAGGCTGAAAAAGAGGGGAATTAGGACTCCAAATCAACAAGGAAAAATGACACTTCTCATTCAGATTCCAGGAAGGAAAAAGAATGATCCTTGCGGTAGGAAACATGGCTTCTAGAAAGGATGTATGCAGCATAGATTTAGGGATAGGGCTTTGGCTTCTAGAAACCTGATTTGTAGGTATCCTAATGTCATTTGGATGTCCTCCTTGCAGCTAGAATTAAGGTAAATTAGGATAAGGTTAGGATAAGATAAGGTAAGATTTTGGATAATGTTTGGATAATATAAGATAATTTGGATAGTGTTTCCTTCTTCTTAGCTGATTCCTTATCTTCCAAGTCTTGAATTAATTTCTTCAACTCTTGAGCACATTCCTAGCCTCTTTTAATCTTCAAAAATGTCCATCTACCTTGCTCCATGCATGTGCTATCCATTTGAAGCCCAAAACTGCTCTAAAATGCTCCAAATTGCACTTTCTTACCAACTTTGTCATTTGAACCTGAAAACACATGAAAATAGTTTAAAACACTCTAATAAGTAGCAATTAGCTACGTAAATGCAAGAAAACAAGCTAACTAAGTCGCATAAATATGCTCCTATCATAAACCAATTCCCCGACACCCATATGGGTGTGCTCTCTAGTGCGAGAGGGTAAACTAATTCCCTGACACCTATACGTGTAAGCTATCCAGTGCAAAAGGGTAAACTAATTGCTCTTTAGTGAGAAAAGGTAAACTAATTCCCCGACAACCATCTGGGTATTTCCAGCACGAGAGGATAAACCAATTCCCCAACACTCATCTAGGTAAGATCTCCGGTGCAAGTTGATAAACTAATTCCCCAACACTCATCTAGGCCACACAACTCAAAGGATTGAATACTCAAACACCAACTAAGTAGTAAATGGTCAGGAGGTAGTAGTCGACAATGAACTCAACAGCTTGACGCCCCAAGAAGCCCAAACTCACGCCCATAATGACTTTGTGAGATCATTAGCCTTCTTCGAAGTAGCGTGCTTAACCGACGATTTTATGGCTAAAAGTTTTGCAAAACGCTTCAAGCAAGCAAAGTTTCAAGAAAAACAAAGATGGAGTAAAGTGAAAGCAGTTTATTAAATTTCTAGCAAATTGATAAACTTATTATGAAGGTCACCGAAATTCAACACAAGCTAAACAGAGCAAACTACTCATTCAGTAGCTTGGATGACCTTAGGCTCTCCAGTAGCCATCCTACCTTCAGTAGCCACTTCGCACTCAGCAGTTTGCTCACCCGAGACTTCATCTTCAGCAAGTTCGATGTTTGTAGCACCATCTTCAATTACTCCATCTACGACAATTGAGAAATTAAACTCAAGCAGTTTTTTCCTTCTTGACAAGCAGCACAAACATGGCAGCCCAAAACGTGGCCCCTGCCACACCATTTCCTCGGCCCATGCCGAGCCAGCCCTTGGCTCCAGCCTAGCCGAATAGCCCAAGTGGTGGCCCTTGCCACACCACTTCCTCAGCTTATGCCAAGCCGACTCTTGGCCCCTGCCGGTTGGCGTGCCACACCACCCCGACGACTGCCGCACCACCCAAGAAGAAGACAAAGAAAATTAAATTTTTCTTACCTTGGTGCGGCGCAGAGAAGACAAAGAAATCAACAGAAGACGGTTCTTTGCAAGGGCAAGCAAAGAAGAATGGTAAGGGTGGGGGAACAAATATCCTCTAGGTTTCTCTCTTTCTTGTAAGGATAAATAATTGCCCTCTAAGTGGATTTAATCCCCTACTTAAGGTAGGCTTAAATAGGCTTTGGAGGTGATTCATTTCCTTTTCTTAGAAGAATCTAATTCCAAGTCCAACTGGGATTATGCATCAGAGTTGAAGATCTCTACACCTGCTGCCCTTTCTTGTGAGCAGCCCAGCAGGTGTGAGGGCATTTGTGGAGGAAAAAATAATCAAGAAAATTATGCAGGTGACACATGGACTTTTGGGTTAAAAGGACAAAATTACATTTGAGGCACACTGGGATTCCCACACGCATGCAACAGACAATAACGGCTCAATCAAGGAAGAGCCAAATGTGATCAAAATGGTATTTATTCAAATCCCTCTCATCACTCCTCATCAAAATCTTATTCAAAAGGTAGCTCCCAAAACTTCCTATTTAATTTGGGATTAATTACCATGTTAATTGCAAGATATTATTTCATATAATATCTTGCAATTATTCTCCAATTACACCATATATGACCGGCCACTATTCTCCAAATACGACTAGCCACCCTCCTATAAATACCCATCTTATCCCACTAAAATGTTAAGCCATTTGCCACAAACTCCTAAACACATTCTTTTTAGAATTCTAACTTTGGCATCGGAGATTCTTCGGCCAAAGAGCCCCCCCCGGGCCCATTCATCATGGGCGTGTGAGGCTTTTGGCCTTAATCGGTGTTATTATTTTTACAGGTGCATTTTCATCAAAGGAGAAGATGGTGGAAATTTGCATCCACAATTTGCACCTACACACGTGTGGAATCAAGCTATATCCATCTATTCTAAACCCACTTCCATACACCAAAGTGAAATTTTAAATGACTAAGATGCCCTTAGAATTGTTTTTTCCCAAAACTGTAAAATAAATAAATAATAAAATTTAGTGGTAGTTCCTGTAGTGTTTTCGTGTAGAAGACTAGAATATGCAGGAGTTTATGATGGCAATGATTTTGAATTCGTAGCTAGGTTGGCTACTTTGATATTGTAAAACTAAAGATGCGTTTGCATTTACAGTTGAATGGGAAAAAAAAAAAAACCTAGCTCCATTGTTTTTCTGTTCTAAAGAACAACGGTGAAAAGAGTTTTTTGATATTCCTAATGAATTGGATATTGTCTGGCAATGAATTTATCCATGATGAATATTGTACTTTTTTGGACTCTTAACGCTTTCTTTCTAATGTTATCTTTGCATGTCACTTTGCTAGTCAATCTTCTATGAAAATTATTTTGTACTTTTCCTTTTTAGGGTTAGGTATTGTCCACTTTTGATGCTTTGGACAAGTAGTCAAGACCATTATGATGAAATTTAAAACTTCAACCAGTAAACTGTGACACTCAGAGCAAGATTCACGTTATCATTTGGGCATCTTTGTTGCAACTATTTCGTGTTCGAAGAGATTTGAATTCTTTTTCAGGTTTTCTTAGACCTTAATTGTAACGAAGCTGGAATTGGCATATGTCATTACTTAAATGAAATACTATTATCGTGACACGGCACAAAAATAAAAAGAGGACACCATGACACCATTGCAACATTAGCTTTATGGCTATCCATGAACCATTCTTAAAGTTGACTGGACTTGTTTCTGTCTAGCGGTTGATAGTTTCCATTTTTTGTTGTGGGCGAACTCGAATCATGGGAGAACTTATATCGTGGGAGAAATTTTATAAGGTATTCAGAGTTTAAGTTTTGGACGTTGTCATTTGTGTTTTTTTATGCTGATACATGTTGGAAATATGTCAACAATCTGTAATAAATTTATATATGCTAATAAATAATAAATGCGAACAACTAATTAACAGTGTATGAACAATGAAATAATATTAAACATAAATATTGAAGATCGAGGCTTGCGTACCGCAATATCCATGAAAAAGAAATTTCGTCCCTACTCAGTGTTTGTAATTCTACGGACGTCTGCTTCACCAGGATTCAACGATCAAGTCAGAATTCCAGCATCGGAAAACTTGACTTTTGGCGAATTTCCGTGTGGTTCTCTCAGAAAGGATATTTGTGATTGTAGAAGAAGAATATTGATTTTTTGTATATGAAATGTCATGCATATGAATGTATATATAGTATGTGTATGCCTGTTTGCAACGGGTATAAGAATGGGATGTGTCTGTTGGGAGACATCTTCTCTAGAGGGGTGCTTTGCTCTTTCATCACTGTTCACAGACTTCATCTAAAATGATGAGTCTGTTGATAAAAAATAATAAAAATTAATTAATTAAATCCGAAAATAATTAATTAAATAATTTAATTATTAGAGTCCAAGCCCAAGAACCCCAATGCCCATCTTTTGATCAATTAATTAGCACACTCCAAAACCCAATCCCAAGGGTGAGCCCAATTTTATTCTCCAAAGTTCATCACTCCAATCATTTTCTATAAGGAACAATGCCTTATAAAGTGAGAAAACTTTTTGGTAGTAACCAATGTGAAACAATGAAATTTCTATTTAAAATTTGGAACAATTCATTCCAACTGTGTGCAAGTACTTATCTTTTTCCACCTTGTGCCTTTCGAAACTGGGAGAAATTATGTTTGCTTTCCTTATGATTTTTTTTGTTTTCTTTCCGCAGTGGAGGTTTAGAGCTTCTATGCAACTCTGTAAAGATTCATAATGTCAACGTTGAAATGCAAAACGGAGCAGAAAAGGTGAACTTCAGCTTTTGTTAAGGCTAAGAAGAATAAGTATAACCTGAAGGGGATTTGTAACCTGAAGGGGATTTGTCATTTCAGCGCTTTTATTTGTTCCTATTAGTCAACACGATTTTCGTCTTCTTCTTCTCAGCTAACCATGAAGGATTTGCTCTCCTGGATCCGTACCCATTTGATCAAGGAGAGGCCTGAAATGTTTATGAAAGGGGATACTGTGTAAGATAAAATCTGCATCAGACATAATTTTAAACTGAACATGTTCCTCAGTCGCTTCGATAATTTTATAATAAATATGCTGTTAATGGTTTTGATAGGAAAACAAATAATTTGAAACATGGGTATAATACTGTTGCTATAACATGAAGCTTGGGTTGTCTTGCAGGAGACCCGGTGTTAATAGAAGCATATTTATGCGACTTTGTTAGCTTGTTTCTTTGCATTTAGTAAGTTAGTTTCTATTTATTATAGTGATTTAAGCTATTTTCGTGTGTTTGTAGGTTTAAAAAAACAAAGTTGGCAAGAAAGTGCAATTTGGAGCTATTTAGAGCAGTTTTGGGCTTGGAATGGATAACTTGCATATGGAGCAAGGTGGATGGACAAATTTGAAGTCAAATAAGGCTAGAAACATGCTACAAATTTGGATAAACAAGTTCAAGACAAAGAAGATAAGGAGAGAGCAAGAAACATGGAACATTATCCAAACAACCTTATCTTATCCAAATCTTATCCAACCTTATCTTATCTTATCCTATCCTAATCTTTTGCTACCTTAATTCCTGCTACAAGGGGGACATCCAAATGACATTAGAACACCTAAATATCAGGTTTCTAGAAGCCCTATCCTTCTCCTACATTGGTGCCGCACCTATCCCTTCTAGAAGACATGTTTCCTGCCGCAATGACCATTCCTTGTCCTCCCTGGAATCTGAATGAACGTGTCCTTGTTCTTTAGTGATTTGGAGTCATAATTCCCCTCCTTTTCTGCCCTTGCTGTGTCTTCCCTTCTCCCTATAAATACATGTTGTCATAGCACTCATTCCACCACCCATCATTCACCACAATTCACAACACACATCCATCATGCACACAAATCCCCATTGTGCCGCAGCAAGGAAGGAAGGAGGAGTCACTTGGAGCCGTGCTTGCCATTCAAGATGTTGGATTGTTGGAGCGTTTCTAGGTGTATTCTATTCTTTGTTTTCAATGTTTAAATTTAATTATCTTTGTTTTGCGAACATGAGGAACTAATTTCTTTTTAGCATAAGGTGAATTCAAAGCCATGAACATATATGTGATATGAATTGATTTCCTCCAGTTATTGTTTCATAAAACATGAATGCGATTTACTTATCTGTTTGATTGATAACTTATTCTTGTATGTTGATTAAGGGTGCACACTTAGTTTGCATGCATGAATTTGATGCTAGAATATAAGAGAACTTCACCTAATCGTTATGAACTTATATTTATAAGTAGTGGAGGTTGATAGTCACAATGTGTTAAGTAAATCCATGGTAGGAGTATCATGCAGTTCATAGTTACGAATGTCATGTCAATGTTTATGATTTTCACAAAGCTTAATGATCTTTGATTGTATCTCTATTATGTTGTTCATGTAGGAAACTTGATAAGAATAATTTGGTTGCCGATGCGTATTCCATCCAATTCAATGAATTTAGGAAAATCTAAAAGTTAATTTGTGCGTTTCACCATTAATTTATGGTATTGTCATTCATGGTTTAAAGAAAAAATAACTGGAAATCAATTTATATGCATATGTGTCATGTGTGGAGAAGGACCCTCTAGCTAGCCATTCACCCATTTAAACACCCAATTTCGTCCAAAGTTGTTTAGAGTCTTTAATTTACTTGTCTTTACTTTAAATTCATCAAAAACCCAATCCCCTTTACTTTGTTGTGTCAAATTAGTTAGAATATGTCCAAACTTGTGTTTTTAAGTGTTTTGAGTCAAGTTAAAAGTAATTTTCGTCGAAACCACTCTTTAGTGTCTAGTTTGAGTCAATTTAACTTAGTTAGTGTGTTTTGAGTCTATTTAGCTTGTTTTGAGTTGTTAGAGTCTAGTTTTCTGTTTTTGAGTTAGTTTAGTGTTTTAGAGTTTAAATTGTGTAGATTAGCATCCCTTCTAATCCTTGACCTAGAATGATCCCTACTTACATATACTACAATTATAAGGTTTAACTTGTGTGCTATTATATATCACATCAGGTGTTCTAGCCCTTGTGAACGATTGCGATTGGGAGCTGAGCGGGCAACTTGATACAACGCTAGAGGAGAAGGATGTGGTTGTTTTCATTTCAACCTTGCACAGTGAATAGTACGCGGATCATTGTAAGTACGCGGATCATTGTAATAACTTTAGGATATGAACCAATTGTTTGTATCGGGATTGTAAGATGTTGACGCGATTTGATATACGTATGTGAACATGACTACTTCCCCATGTAGTGGTTGGCTATTATATGAGATTTATGTACATATATCTAGGAGTAGTTAGATATTGATGCAAATAAAACCTGTAAATTGCCTGTGATTGTTATTTGGATATAGGATAATGGCAAATGGGTTGGATTGTTATTTCGATATAGGATGATGGGGCGATATTCATTTCACTTTTTAGAGCGATGAGTGCATAATAAGATTTATGAAATGCTAATAACAGTTCTCTTTATAAATTGTTCAAGATGTCACATTATCAGCAAGACTCAATATAGTCAAAAATCGTCGCTACATTGAAGTTGTCATGCATCAATTTGGCAACGGAGAAAGGTTCAAGTCATACCAACACATTCAGATAAGACCTGTAGAATAATATACGTAGAAATTGTTTGAATTTTGGGATAAAACGGGAACATATGGGCCTAATGACCTTAATCAATTGACTTAGTTCACTTATTTTAATTTGGTATTGTTTAGGCCTCAATATGAATATTCCAGTTCCAACGGAAAAAAAAAAAAAAAAAAAAACCTTTTGGTGTACTGTGAGAATAAATAATTACTAGCCTCTCCGCACGCGCATGTGAGAGGCATTTTTGCATCACGGACGCTACGTGCCCTAAGGATTTGTTAATTTAGATATTATTTTAATTCTGAATTGATTATTGAAAATAAATAGAATCTCATTGCAAAGATGTCTCGAGTTAGTTATTTTTCATTGTAATTGTGAAGATATATTTTTAATGCATTGCGAATGCGAGAGACATTTCTTTATCAGCCCCTAAAAAAGTGTTGCTTTATATATATATATATATATTTTTTTTTTCCCTTATTTCTTAAGTGCTTATTTATATTTTGTGCATGTGAGGGTCATTTCGCAGTTTTTGATTTTGAATTTGTGAGAGGCCAACATCCATCTTTCCTCCTATTTTTTTAATATATACCTTCAACGTGCATTTGTTTTACCTTCTGTTAAGAAGTAGTAAGCACAACCATGTATGTAACATCCCACATCATCTAGTGGAGTGATCCTTATATGTATATTCCCATCCCCACCTAGTACGAGGCATTTTGGGAGCTCACTGGCTTCGGGTTCCGTAGGAACTCTGAAGTTAAGCGAGAAGGGGGCTAGAGCAATCCCATGATGGGTGACCCACTAAGAAGTTGCTCGTGAGTTCCCAAAAACAAAACCGTGAGGGAATGGTAAGCCCAAAGCGGACAATATCGTGCTACGATGGTGGAGCGAGCCTGGGAAGTGATCCGCCCTGAGTCGGGATGTGACAAATTGGTATCAGAGCCTAACCTTGGTTGCGTGTGTGTCGACGAGGACGTCGGACCCCTAAGGGGGGTGGATTGTAACATCCCACGTTGCCCAGGGGAGTGATCCTTATATGTATATTCCCATCCCCATCTAGTACAAGGCCTTTTGGAAGCTCATTGGCTTCAGGTTCCGTAGGAACTCCGAAGTTAAGCGAGAAGGGGGCTAGAGCAATTCCATAATGGGTGACCCATTAGAAAGTTGCTTATGAGTTCCCAAAAATAAAACTGTGAGGGAATGGTAAGCCCAAAGCAGACAATATCTTGCTACGGTGGTGAAGCGGGCCCAGGAAATGATCCGCCCCAGGCCGGGATGTGACATTTGGATTGTAACATCCTACATCGCCTAGGGGAGTGATCCTTGTATGTATATTCCCATCCCCACCTAGTACGAGGCCTTTTGAGAGCTCACTGGCTTCGGGTTCCGCAGGAACTCTGAAGTTAAGCGAGAAGGGGGCAAGAGCAATCCCATAATAGGTGACCCACTGGGAAGTTGCTCGTGAGTTCCCAAAAATAAAACCGTGAGGTAATGGTAAGCCCAAAGCGGACAATATCATGCTACGGTGGTGGAGCGAGTCCGGGAAATGATTCGCCCCGGGTTGGGATGTGACATTTGGGTCATCTCGCTTAACTTTGAAGTTCCAATGAACTCCGAAGCCAGTGAGCTCCCAAAAGGCCTCGTGCTAAGTAGGGATGGGAATATACATATAAGGATCACTTTCCTGGGCAATGTGGGATGTCACATGTAAGCAAGAAATATGCTAGTATAAAAGAACCAAAAGGGGAAAGAATTGCAAATATATATATATATATATATATATTTTGGTGACAAATACACACCAAATTATCTAGTCTTTCTACATGCGCTCTTGGACTATTTTTTTTTTTTTTTTTTTTTTTTTTTTTTTTTTTTTTGGTTTACCTTAGGATTAGATTTAGAAATAAAATGTTAAGTGACAATTTTTTTTTACTATTGTGTTGGACAGCGTTGAATAGAAGTTACTTTGCAATATTTTGTACTCTTATGCTATAATAAATTGGTAAATAGGGATACGATGGTAGTATATTTCTAAACAAAATAAAAATCATGATGCATATATACACTTGTATTACATTTAACGCGGACCAAGAATAAAAAGAAAATTTCTCTGTCTTGATAACTTACAGAAGTATGCATCTATAAGCATATTGTTTTATGACACTACAAAATAATAGGTGAGGCAAAAACATTATCTTTGTGCAATCAAATCTTATTAGTAACACTTCGAAAAAATAGTTTGATTTCCACCAGCCAGTAACTGTCACATCTCAATCCGGGGCCCCACCACAACTTGGGCTCGACTCCACCGTAGCATGATATTGTTCGCTTTGAGCCCCTACCACACCCTCACAGTTTTATTTTTGGGAACTCACACGAGAACTTTTCAGTGGGTCACCTATCCTGGGAATGCTCTCGCGCGAACTCACTTAACTTCAGAGTTCCAATGGAACAAAAAGTCAGTGAACTCCCAAAAAGCCTCATGCTAGATAGAGATGGGAATATACATATAAGGATCACTCCCCTAGGCGATGTGAGATCTTACAGTAACACCCAAAAAACAAAGCAACTTCTCTTGCAGCAACATAATATACATAACCGAAATTTTGTCCATAAGAAAAAAAAAAAACAAAAAAAACCTCCATGCCACTTATTCTCTTTTCTTATTTTGATGGGTAAAATGCACTGAAACCAAACCACATGTAGGCATACTTCATTATAGTTCCATGATATATATGTACAAAGAGTAAAGCAAGAAAATTCCTTTAAGAATACAACCAAATATATGAAGTTCTCTAAAATAAGAACGAAAAAAGAAGGCATAAGGAACTCATAAAGCTATCAAATGAAGAAGAATATAAAGCACAGAGCAATTTAAATAAGTTCCAATAAACCAAATATTAGAACTCTAAAGGCAATTACTTAAAAACACAATTGTAAGACGTATACCTGAACAATTTTATTGTTTGCACTTGAGTTTGTACCCAAATTGTCTCTGCTTTTGTCATTCTCAATCGGTTTTTGAGCCCCTAAAACGAAAGAAATTAAGCTAATAGAGATACGAAAATGAAAACCGAAACTTAAATTATAAAAATGAAAAAGAAAAGAAAATTTTAAAGCCAAAATGTACATACAAAAATTGAAAATTAAATATTTAGAGCATACGTGCCATGATGTCAAATTCACCCATTAATGATGAATCTAGGCCTGTAGTTATGAAGATATCTAAGCAAAACTTTGTTAGAATGTTAAATAATAAATAAATAAAAGTAATTACCACATTAATAGATACTGAAGAAAAAAGATTATTCTTTAAATTTGATTCGATCACTTTAAAAAAAACAATATTTTGTTCCCCAAAATCAACTGCCCAGCATCAAGGGCGAAAAATGAATCAATTAAAACCGACTTCAATCATATGATCACCAACAAGAGATACCCAACCTTATTCATAAATTTGCAAGAACATAAAAATAAAAAAATAAAAAAATAAAAGAAATAAAAAATAAAAACCCAAATGATAAATATTAGTAAACTTAAGGCAATTACCTTATTGCAGCCTACATGAGCACTCTCCAATGGCTCTCTTCTTTACTCATGAAATGTCTTGCTATTAGACAAAATAAACTCATAATTTTGTAAAAGCAGTCTCCAAAACCAAATAGAATGTTAATATGAAAATATTGAATTAACAAAATTAATTATGAAAATAAAAGATTCTCATGCATTGAGCAATTCATATATACCTTGGAATTCTAATATCTAGTACAAATTATTCTTCAATAAGGAAATCGTAAAGTTCCATAAAAATTTGAAATAAAATAAAATATACAAAAGATGGAATTCATATATACCTATATATATCGATATATCTATCAATTTACAACAACCAACATAAACAGTACTTAGAAAGAGCGTACATAGTTGAATCCAAAGCAACAAAATGCCACTCTGCCTATCTCTTCCTCTAGGTTTCTCAGGATGGGTCGTGCTTCTTTCCATCCGCTCCCTCCAATAGATTTTCTATAATCCGAAATTAAAATGCAAGACCGGGGGGTGGGGGGGGGGGGGGGGGGGGGGGGGGGGGGTTGTAAGGGAATCAAACACTAAGAAGACAAAAGAGAATTGAAAAAAAGAAGAGAGAACTTGAGACCTGAAAGACTGAGATGATTCAGTTTTTGCGTGATGCAATCTTCTTCATCTCAATTCATTTATATAAGTAAGGAACTAATTTGTTTTGTCAAATATTTCTCTCCGCAACAATTTGTCCAAGAAAAATGACTGCTTGAAATTGAACTTCTGTTAAATACTCTGCCAAAAGATATATGTTAATTAGCTTAGGGATTATAATCATACCAACATTTGACCCAAAATTGAAAGGTAAAAAGATAAAATTCTATGCATATAGTAGATAATTGATAAATCAAACTTTGCAACTGAAAGGTTGACAATGGCTTCAAAATTAACTAAATATCTAAAACAACTTGTAATCCTAATTATATGGAAGAGGGTAGAGAAAAGCAAAGT